ATGTAAAAATTTATTTATAGAAAATATAATTATAATAAATTTGGGTATTAGCGCCGTACTATGTGCGCGATGAATTTCAATATTATTAAATTATATCTCTTGAAAAAATTCATAAATATTTTATGTTTTCAACTTGAAAGCATTTGACAACCGATAATAATTCCGATAATAAACCGATGATAATTCATAGCTGTGCAACCTTAAACTATCTAATTAACTGTTTTTGGCATTTCCTTAGATATAACAAATTTCTTAAAAATCAAAAGATGTGTATGTGATTTTGTGTCACAATTTAAAAATAAATGATGCTCGATCTAAAATTAGCTTCCTGATTTTTACCTGTGATTTTATATTAATATAATATACGTGGATCATTTGGTAAATTTCCATGAAATACAATCCATTTGATGACACGACACCTCGAAAGATCCACTCTTCGAACTCCTTCAGGCTAAATTTCAGTCAGAAAGGACGCATAGTTCATGTTTGATAATCATTTAAATTTAACCCATGTAATTGCAAATTTCACAGACATTTAATGATCAGAATAAAATTTTAGCATTTAAAATGTCTTAGCATTAGAAATGTTGAAATCCTTATTTAAGATAATAATAATATATGCGTTAGTTCGAGTCTTGTATAGAACCATCGTATACATTCTTTCCGTAACCATAATCATAAGATATATCGTAAGAGTTAGCCAATCATAGTAAAAAATTATCAAAAATTTTTAGCTGATTAGCTAATTCTTATACGATACATCTTACAATTATTGTTGCGAAAAATAAATAAAATGAGACTATCCTTACTACTGCGAAATTATTGATCCCTTTTATACCGTTAGTACGCGTATCAAATTGGTGCGGATTAAATATTTGATACGTCCTTATTTATACTGATTTGTTTCAGAACAGGTCAAGTTAGGTGACCTGATGTCTTCATTATTTTTCAAGATATAAAACCTCTAATTCTAATTTTAATTTGAAAAGCAGTGGTGAATTTTAATATACGATCTAAAACAAACTAAGCATTTATAGCACGCTGAGATTCTTTGATATCATTTGATATGCATACCAGTTAGGTCTGATACTCGTAATTCAGAAGTATCAGACCAAAATAATCCGCCAGCGTTTATACCAAGCACATCAAGTGATTTGATATGGAAATGACACTTAATATGCATATCAAGTGCTCGGTATAAACTATAAGCAATTATAATAATTAAATATAATTAAATGACAATTAAATATAATTTACACATTTATATATAAATTTCTTATTTTCTGCAAAGTAGACATACGTGTTTAACATAACATGTTTGGTCTTAGAAAGATGTTATTCAAAAATCGGATTCATCGGATTGGGTAATATGGGCGGTCACATGGCGAAAAACTTGCTGAAGAAAGTAATAATCAATTTAAATTTAGTGAGTCATCGTCTCTTTCAACTAAATAATTCTCATTAATAAAAGTTTTTTTTCTTAGAATTATAAACTCACTGTATATGACATAAATAATTCGGCGATGACGAATTTAATGGAAGCGGGAGCAAGTTGTGCGTTAAATGTGGCTGAAATATCGAAGGAAGCTGATGTTATCATCTCAATGTTACCTTCAAATCAGCATGTCCTTGATATCTACACTGGCAAGAATGGCGTGCTTAGGTAAAAAAATGAATTTTAGAAGTCAGCACTTTTTTCAAATAGTGATGTCTAAAATTGATTTGTCAAATAAATAAATTGCAATTTATGTTTGGCTAATTTGTATTTTGTTTTTTAGTGCAGCACAAAAGGATGTTCTACTGATCGATAGCAGTACCGTAGATCCATCAGTGTCTCAATTTATTGCCTTGCAGGCTCGTGAACATAATTTGAGATTTATCGATAGTCCTGTTTCGGGAGGTTAGTTTTAACATTCATAAAAAATCTAAAATGTAAATTTAGAATTACAATAGACTTATTAAATATAGATATAAATTATACTCGAATAAATTATCAATAAATTATAAAATAAAGTAAGAATTAAAGTAAGAATTAAAGAATTAAAGAATTAAAGAATTAAGAATTAAAGAATAAAGAATTAAAGAATTGTTTATTAAATTAATAGGCGTAAACGCAGCCAAGGATGGCACTTTGACATTTATGGTAGGCGGCAAGGAAATGGATTTTAATGATGCGAAACCCATTCTTGAAGCTCTGGGATCTAGAATAGTACATTGCGGTGACGTAGGCATGGGACAGGCGGCTAAGCTGTGTAACAATATGTTATTAGCCATCGGTATGATTGGCACGGCTGAAGCATTTAACCTTGGGCAGAGGTAAGAAACAAATAGGATATACGTAATGCATATTTTAATGTCAATTTTTTATGTCAGTAGTTTAATGTACGTGATTTATTTTAGGCTAGGCTTAGATGCTAAGATATTGGCGAACGTTGTAAACTCTAGCACAGGCAGATGCTGGTCTTCTGATCTGTATAATCCAGTTCCGGGAATTCTACCTAATGTTCCTAGTTCGAAGAATTATGAGGTAATTGAGTGCAGAATGTTTTTGCGTGATCCGGCTTTTTTCTTATGTTGCAGATTCACTGAAGCAGAATTCAAGAACCTGAGGAATTAACATAATCGGAAAAGATAAATTAACATTATAACACAAAATTTTCGATTATAAAATTAAAAAATTAAAAAAAATTAGCTTATATGCTTTATTCAGAGAATTCTAACGGACTTTTTATAATAAGTTGTATTAGGACTATCTCATACACTTACGTAACCATAATCGTAAAGCGTACATAAGAATTAGTCAATCACAGTTAAGAACTATCAAAAATGTTCAGCTCTGATCGGCTAATTCTCACGGTTACGTGTATGTGCAGTAATGAAAGTATGTACACTAATCTATTATATCTATAAGCTTTAAGTCTTAAGAGTCGTAAGAAATTGACAATCATGTTCTTATCACATTCGACTGTGTTGGTCAATTCCTTACGGCTTAAAGCAACTTATTGTGGAATGTATGTTACAATTTATTTGAAACAAATAATTTAATAGATATATGTAAGAGGATCTAATCATCTGTTTCATATTCATTCAAATTTATTATCATCCGTAATTAATTTTTTTCTGATTGATATAAATAAATTACATGAATATCGATATCGGTTTTTATATTTAACTTTCTACCGGCAATGTCAAACTTTAAAGGTTCAGTCGATTTTTTGTTTGTAATAATTAAAATATAAATTTTTATGATTATAAAAACTTGTTAAAGTTTAAAAAATTATAAATATATAAGAATTTTTTTCAGATTTTTATATAGTCCAGAACAACATAAAACTACTACATAGAAATTCAAAGACTCAGGTTGCGGACAAAGTGTGAAAATTTCACATTGCCGAAGGAAGATTAAGATTGCCTTACATATATAAATCTTAAGATGTCATATGCATATAAGCCAATCATAGATTGCTATTTGTAGACAGTTCTTATGACCTTTTACAATAAGTCATTAATCATAAATCAGAAGTCAAAAGCTAAAAATTGATCAATCATAATCATCAATTTTTAGCTTTTGATTTCTAATTTATGCTTAATGGCTTATTATAGAGAAAATCTATTATATTTAAGATTGTCTTATATCTTATGTGTCATGAACACAATCAGATAGCCATATTAGCGTCATACTTCACATACTTCTTCAGAACAGTCTTGAAAGAATGTAATAGAAATAACAATAGTAATGTGAAAAATAATTAAAGAGATAATTTTCGTTTTAGAGAAAAACAACTTTGGGAAAATGTTAAAAAAATTGCTCATACAATTATGCATAATTTTATATTTAATTATATTTAAGTAATTTTTTATATTTTTTCAAACTTGATTTTTTCTAAAATAAATAGTATGAAAATTACTCTTTTTACTTATTTCTAATGTTTTCATATTTTATTATTGTTATTTTTATTACTAAAAAGTATTTTTATAAAAGAAAGAAGAATACATGAATATGTATGGACATATTTCATATAAAATTATGTATATACATATTTATACATATTCATTCATGAAAAAATTTTTTACCGGAATTTATATTACATTTTAAGTATAGTATTTTAAGAACGTAAATCTGTGTGTGGCTGTCTGATTTATGATATATCAAGATTGTACCTAAGATGTTATATCATAAATATAACAAATAATTACTATTAAATACTAGTTTTTAGTTTTAAAGTAAATAACAAGTAAATACACATATAGGGCGGTTTCGGCACAACATTGATGGCCAAAGATCTGGGATTGATACAATCCATCGCGACTAGAACGCAAACTGCAATTCCTCTTGGTTCCCTGGCGCATCAGATTTATACAGCGATCATCGCTCAAGGATTCTCAAATAAGGATTTCAGCGTAATCTATCAATTCCTTAAAGGTAAAAATTGATAAAACTTATACTATAAGCCTTATTAAATATTTTTAAATGTATCGACTGAAGCAAACGATTTTTATTTGGTATATTATTTACAAAATATTTGATATATTTGGTATATTTAGTGTATTATTTACAAAAGTTAACGTTTTTTGTTTTTTTTTTATCCAATACACTTTTATATTGTGTGATTACAAACATACTTAAATATACTGCATTATTCGTCCGTGTTCTGTAATCTATAGAGGGCACTAGTCGATAGACAATGTGATCTATTCTGTAGTATTAACTGATACTCGTTTTTATCATTGTGTACCAATTATTAATTTTAATTTCAGTTCAACTTTCTCTTCATTTTTTAATTCTTAGAACTAGAAAAGATAAAAAATTAATTGAACTGAGATTAAAATTAAACTACACTGCAAAAACCTGTTTTATATGTAATTTTTTAAATATGTCAGAAAACATAGAAGCAAAGCACAATTTAAAAAGATAATATTACGCTGTTTAATATAACAGATATTTAAATTTAAGGTTATTTTTTTATTTATATTTCTTACAGAGATAACGTCTGTAAACTGTAACTTTTTTAATGAGTTTTGATAGAATACATTTAAAAATTAGATAGAATAAAATTAGAATTAAAATAAAAATCTATGTAAAAATTAAAATAAAATTAGTTTTGTGATTTCAAGAATAAATCAAATATAAGTAAATTACTTGTATAAACCTCTGTAGTTGTTAATGTATAAATAATATATTTATAATGTGACATAATTCGCAAACAATTAAAATGTATTTACCGACAGTTAACTGCAACTTTTTGATTCAAGTTTTAGCTCTTCGACGCGAAAGTTAAGTACAAACTACTAAAATTTGTATTTTAAAAGTATTTTAAAATTATTTTTTTGTGAAATAAATAGAATAAAATCTCAAAAATAAATTTTTTTTATATTATATTATTTTTTATATTTTTAATATTATTTTCTATATATTTTTTTTATTATTCTTATTAATTTATAGGTGTATTTATAAATCGATATGTTAGAACGCTATATTATCGACGTCCTCGTAGATCTAACAGTTCATTACACTGCAGTTTTATAATGTACGTCGTGAGCAACAATAATTATTTATTATACAATTTATTTTTTACTTATTGAACAATTGTATCATATATGCGGTGTGCCCATTAATGAGAATAAATTACATAAATTCGTAAAATGAAGATATTTAACATCGCTAATGTTGACTAGCGTAGTACGCGTATCTATTTAACTTTATATTACATTTATTACAGCTTATTTCTTTTATACGGTAAAATATTTTTAAGATTAATAACGTTAATTAAAATAATCAAAAATTATTTATATAACTATCAGATATCTAATATTATTAACGTACGCGTATTAATTGTTACTTTCTCATATTTAATATTAATTATTAGTACAATCTTTCTGAAACATTAATTTTTTCAATAAGTGTATAAACGAACATTTTATGCTGTCTAGGGAATATGGAGAAAAGAATATTTTATACTTTTAAAAGTTCTTCTTTCTTTATCGCTTTGGTGTTCTTCAGGATTACATTTTCGGTGTAAATCTCGCCAAAATTAACATAATTTTTGCTTCTTCCTGCGCTTGAATAGAATCAGTATTATATACAAAAATAGAAGAATAATAGAATTTTTTTCGATTATAAAATTTTCTCAATTATGTAGCGGTTCTAAGTCGCGCTCGCGCGATTCGTCAATCGCACGTGACAGGATTGTATCACGTGACACACGCGTTCGCGGCGAGTCATCGCATTGACTAGCGTAGTTTGTCCTACCATCGGTGTATTTGACGGCTCTTTTTTGTGATTAGACGAGGACGAGAGGGCAGTGCGGTTCGGTGCGATTGCGGTGAGTTCGGGGATTTACTCGCTGCCGTTTCCGTGAGTCTCGCACAAGTTAGGAGAAGATAGATAGAGAGAGGGAGAGAGAACGAGGCAGGGACGCAGAACGGGACGCGAACAAGAGTCCAACGTCGTCCAACGTCGCCACTCGCCAGTCACGGAAAGATATACGGATTGGAGTCATCGGTGGTTAGTTTTTCCCGCCGGATTTCGCGAGCGAACTGGCGCCAGCAGCTGTCCGAGGCAAGTCGTCCAGCAACGACGACGCGACGGTCGGTCGAATGTGTCGCTAGTAGTGTATATACGTCACGCACGTGTAGTACCAAGATCCGTCGTCTCTCTAGTGTGTGCGTACATGCAAGCGTGCGTGCGTGCGTCGTGTGTCGTGCGTGCGTGCGTGCGTGCTCTTAATCCGGTGTCTCGAAAAAACGTAAGTAAAGTAACGCCAAGACCGCGTGCAGATCAGTAAGCCTGCGTGAGTGACGGTGCGAACGCGGAGGCGAGAAGAGGATAGCGGCGGCAGAGGACCGTAGCCGAGAAGGAAGAGGAGATAAAGATGAGCAAGACGTGCGCCCGATGCGAGAAGACGGTCTATCCGATCGAGGAGCTCAAGTGTCTCGACAAGGTACGTAGAGTTTGCTCGGTTATTTTTCGTCCGTTTGGAGTAACTAGCGAGTACTTCTCGATAATTCGAGAAAATCCTCATCCTGGGAGGAATTAAAATTCTTTTCGAATTTTCTCAGCTCTGAAAGGAGTGCCGCTCTCCAGGAGAGAGCGGGAGAGATGTACCGTTCTCGTTCGGCCCCATTGAGTAGGGCTCGGCCCAGTGGCGGCCTTCGCGTCGTTGCCAATCGATGGCCTTCCTTGTCGTGCGTGCGTGCATGCGTGCGTGAGTGAGTGCGTGCGTGCGTGCGTGAGTGCGTGCGTGATGCACGCGTGTTTAACGTCGTGGAACGATCCACAAACGGAGTTGTCTATTTGTTGCGCTTCGATATTCAGTTCAGTTTCATTCAGTTTTAATTAAAACTCTAAACTACAACTAAAAATAAAGAAATATATACATATACGTATAATAGCTTTAAAGAAAATTGAATAAAATTGGAAAGAACTCGAGAAATCCACTTGTTGCATACGCCGTTTCTCGCAACGGATGAAGTCGCTTGATGCATAAAAGGCTGCGAGATGTAGTTCCCCACCATGTCACAAGGATGCGAAGAATATTCTGGTACATTGCAGTGAATTCTGTTAGATGCACTTGTACGCTTTAAAAGCTGTTATTAACCGTTACAAAAATATAAATTCGTGTTTGTTTTTAATTCAAATCGAATAATATCTAAATACAATACAAATGGCAATGATATATGGTAATGATAATGTTAAATATGTTAAACATGGATAAGACAATTATACATATTTTGAGCAACTTTTAAAAGTGTGATAAATAAAGAAATAAAAACGAGAAAATAAAGTAAAATGTTAAATTTTTTTTATCACATTTAAGCCCGATTTTTTCTTATCTGGTTAATTTATAGTTTTGATTCAACCTTACTTGATGATAAAAATTGTTTTCTTCAACTATTAATCACTAATGGTTTTGTAGTGATATCTTTGAAAGTGATTTACAAAACACCACTAGTTTAATCATTAACCATAGCTAGAAAAATACATTTTTTTATTATCAAATTATGTCCAACCACAAGTTAAGCAAACCAGACCTTGAATGTAATGCTCTAAAAGAGCTGTTAAATCGTTACAAAAACATAAATAAAATAAGATGATTATTTTGTAATTTAGACGAATAAATAATATTTAAATACGATACAATCAAATGGTAATGAGAATATCGTAATGATAATGTCAAATTTTATGCTAAATATGGATATGACATAGTTATTTTGAGCGATTTAATAGCCAACAATTGATAGCTTTTACTTAAGAATGAGTCTTTGATTGCCTAAAATAAATTAGACAAAATAAATCTCAAAATTATGTTCTCGTTAAACGTATTTTAGCGCATAATAACGTTTCAACGTGATTGTTTGCGAGGATTTTCTTTTCCGATCGTTGTAGGATTTGTATGCTCGCTTACGGCATACAACGGGTATGCAGCGTTTTTCGAGATATGCAGAAACGGAGTGGGAGTACATGGCAGGATGTACCGTTCGCGAACCGATTGCAATGGTTCAACTGAACGTTATAACTGGTATCTATAAATGTAGATTGCGGAAGACCTAACATAGTTGCACAGTTTTGCTCTTTAGCGTAGTTCACGAAAAAGTAAATGCAAATACGACAATTTTAGAGGAAATAATAACAAAAAAAGAGAAAGAGTAAAAAATTAAATGGCATTTTAATTGTCTTTTTTATTTTATTTTATTTATATATTTTGTATAAAAGACGTTTAACAAGGACGTAATTTTGAGATTTATTTTGTCTAATTTACTTTGGGCAATCAAAGACTCATTCTTAAATAAAAGCTATCAATTGGTGGCTGTTAAGTCGCTCAAAATAATGTCATATTTTGTGTTAAATATTTTCGATTAAATATTTTCAGAATATTTGTCAAAAGTAGTTACATGCCAATATGTAAGATAAGACATGATGTTTGTGAGATTATTGGTGGAAACTTTACCTATTATCTATGTACAACTATGTATAATTATGTATGACAGTATTCGATTATGTATCTATACAAATTATATGCATATACAAAGTACATTGACTATTCTTCTAGCCATTCTTAGGCAACAAGATGTTCTCGTTCTCGTTTAGCTTCACTCGTTTCTACGAATTCTTTCGGCTTCATTTAAAACAAATTTTGTTGAAACTTATTTCATTTTAATTTCGCTGTTTAAACGGAATGTAGCAAATACTCTCTTGCTTCGTTCACTATGTATACCAACTTCCGCATTTGTGCAGGATAAACCTTGAAATGATTCGGATTTATAACTTTTGTTCAAAATTGTGAACGGAGCGCGAATTCTTGCGAGTGTTTTTATAAAAGACCATGGCGTGCAACTCCCATTTACTTCCATTCGTTGTGCTAATTTATTCGACTTTATTCGCACGAGAGACTAGAGTCTGAAATTAGTTAGTCAATTATAAAAATTTTATTTCCATCTTAGGCTGTTCTGATATTATTTTAGCATTTTGAAGTACATATATATCAAATTTATATAAATAATTTCTTTTATTTTCAACTAATTAGTATTAAAAAGATTTAAATGAGAGAAATTATATATTGTAATTAATAATTTAACTGTAGAGTTGAAGAATTAATCAATTATTCCTATTATACAAACTTAAATCTATTATTAGGTCGTGAATACATAGAATTGTTTTTACAACGGGAAAGAATTATTATTTTATGTACAATTAATGTGGCTTTAGTGTCTGGTTTTTTTCTCGCGTTGTCAAGGTGTCAAGAAGATTGGCACACCATTATAGCACACCAAAACTTTTTCTGAGACAGATTACAGGATGTACCGTTCTCGTTTAGTTCCGCTCGCTGAGCCGTTTTCAATTCCATTTGCTGTGATATTTCTCGTCTCGTTTATTCTTACGTTGAATGACCGATACTAAGCATGATCTCTTTCTGCATATAGAGAGACGAAAAGAAAGAGAGGAGGATAGGGAGAGAGAGAGAGAGAGAGAGAGGGAGACTGACCTCTCTAGTCATTTTTGCTCCGAATCTTCTTTTCATAAACGTAGATGAGCTTTACATTAAAAAATTTGTTTATCGTGCTGCATTAGAAATAAACTTTGAAGCCAAGTGCGCGAACTTCGGAATCTTGCGTATTTACTGCGAATTCTTCATAAAATTAAATGTTTTGTCATAAATTGTATATTACGTCTTACTCTGAGAAGGAATTTGAATATTAATTAATTTTGTTAGCTTTTTCTTATCAATTACGACGTATCTCGTCCGGATGCTTATATATAAATATATAAATACGTTATTTTCTGTTTTATTCAAACCCTGATGAGATTGAGATTCACAAGCTTCTACTAAAATTTCAATTTTGCTTTGTAAAAGGAGTGCAGTTTTATAATAAAAGTTTTATTATATAATAAGCAATTATGATTCTTTTGACTTAATGAGATACGTATTATGTAAAAGTATAAATATATACGTGTATGTGGTGTGCTTAAAAAATATCTTATCTAATTTAATACTGGAGGATAAATAAAACTCGTTGGGCGAGTTAACAGCATTTTTTAATCGCGTGGGCGGCATTCCCCGCCAGAAAACGAGCTTCAGACGTTCGAGAAGAGGTCGAGGAAGTCAGGATCCTAAATTTGGATGTGTATCGTGCCGCATGATCGCCACGTTGGTTTTCTAAATCCTCTCGCGCGTTGCGTGTGTCTACTGCACGATCCATCCATTTTTGGTATCTCCCGCAAAGAGAATGAAAGCAGCCTTTTTGTCGCAACGTGACTCACAATGGTAAAATAAGAAATATAATTACCAATAATAAATACTAATCTCTCTTTATTCTTTTTACTTAGAAATTACATTATTAAATTCTATCGGTTTTCAATAAATTATTCGAACGCGCTTTTTCTATTTTTAATTTATTTTCTTTTTATTTTAGTTTAATTAGCGAGGCAAATTTAGTAATTAATACTTGTCTTAATTATTTCATGTATTACTTAAGACAAAAAAAAAACAGCATATTATGAAAAGTAATTAATAGATAACTTTTTATTCTTACTTAGAACACTTGTAAATTACGGTACGGTTTATGCACTTTTTACGTGCAGATCGTTGTTTACGCCCGAGTTTACGCCTATTTCCACTGCGTGTTCGCGATGTCTCATGAAATTGCGGTTGCAGCTGTTTCTCTTTCTTTGGAGAAACAGAGAAGGAAAGCGAGATGAAAGAAATGAAAGAGCGGCGCAATACGAGGAAGAATTGAGACGAGACATAACGTTACACGGTCAACAGACCGAAGTGCACAAGGGAAAATTAAAGAGAAGGAAATTAATGAAGGAAAAGTCAGTTTCTTCCTCACGATGGATTCTTTTTTCTGCAAGCAATGCTTTTTGATTTATTTCTTTTTCTTTTTGTGTTATTTTCTAATGATCTAATCAAATGTAATCCAATCAATCAAACCTAATTGATATCTTTTTATTCGTAATTTTAATATTTCGCTTACTTCTTAGATATTTATTTAAGAAGCATTGTTTTTTATCGCGTGCATGCTTACAGTAAATTTTTAACATCTCATTTACTTTTACAGTAGATATTTATATACAATATTTTTATATGCTTGTATATTTTTTATAATTATTATAAGCGATAGTGATATTGCAAAATGTTTATCAATATTTTTGAAAGTAGGTGATAAAGTAAGTATGAGAGATATTAAATAAGTAAAAAAGATACAAATACTTAAAGATACTTAAATTTATTCTGTTTCTTAAATAATTTTTTCGTCTTTTTTATATCCATTCTATGCAGCATGCGCGATCTAAATTATATGGATATCAGTAATGATTATGAATTTCCTAAATGGAGAGCAGCTATTTGAGAGTCTCCCCTCTCATCTCTCGTGCCTAATAGGAACTTTTATTTGTAAATAGCTTTATTATTTTATTTGTAAACAGCTTTATTATTTTATA